TGCTGAACCACTTTTGCTGAATGCAGTTCGTGGGATAGATGTTGATAGACCCCCGGTTTGGCTCATGAGGCAAGCAGGGAGGTACATGAAGGCAGGTTCATGCAGCTAGTTTACTTAATAATCTTCAGTTTTTGGGAATTCCTTTGTAGTTGTACAAGTCAAACTTAATTGTAGCTTTAGGGAAGACAAGTTTGGTATTTGGTGCTGTAAACTTTTGTGTGTTGTCTAGAAGTTACTCTTCTGAACCACTTGCTCTTTTAATTAGAATGAAAAACTGGAGTTGACTCTGTTTCACCTGTGCAGTGGGATTGTGTTGCTTTATGGCAATGGGACTGCATTTGGTGTAAATAGATGTGTTGTTGTTAGCTCTGTCTGTCATTTTTCAGTTTTCACATTGTCTGTAACTAAACATGGCTAGGGTTTTTTTTTGACATTTTCTGAAATTTATCTCTATTTCGGAAAAAAAGAAGAAGATGAATTTAGCCCAAGAATTTGTTTGAATTGTCATGATCCATGTCTATTTGATTCAATTGTAAATTTAAATAAAACACCTATCTTGTTTTAAATTTGACCAAATGTCAAATTAGCTGAGCTCTTACTCTCTGTGAATTATGAGTTTAGTGAGTATGTCTTCTTTACTGAAAATAGAACTAATTTGCCAACCTTTATTAACCAGAGTTACCAAACCATCTGTGAGAAATATCCTTCATTCCGTGAAAGGTCTGAAAATGTTGATCTTGTGGTGGAAATTTCTCTGCAACCGTGGCATGTTTTCAAGCCTGATGGAGTAAGATAACTCTCTGGCCCTCATTAATTTATTTTTACTTTTTTAGGCATTTTTTACACCACTTTTTGTATAATGGTCTTGATTTTGTTGCCATTAATAATCTGCATGGCTCTGATTTTGTGACAGGTGATTTTATTCTCAGACATTCTTACCCCACTTTCTGGAATGAATATACCCTTTGATATTGTGAAGGGTAAGGGTCCAGTCATATTTGATCCTATTCACACGGCTGCCCAGGTTGATGAAGTGAGGGAGTTTATTCCTGAAGATTCAGTTCCATATGTTGGTGAAGCACTGACAATTTTGAGGAAAGAGGTCTGATCAGTCCTATGTTTCATATCATTTATGCTTTTGTTCATTTTAACACTGCACTTCCATTTTATAGCTGAAGCATGTCTATTTAGGTTTGTTTGGATAATGTTCTCCACAAGCACTTATAGGAAAAAAAGAAAGAGAAAATGCAATGAACTTCCCCAAAAGACCAAAAGTTAAAATTACTTTACACATAAATTAATTTGTAAAAGTTCTTTCATATAAATTTCTTCAAAATATGTTTTTGTATTAACTAATTTTAGCTCATGAAAAAATTAATTTTATTTTTCCTTATTTTTTCTCCTAAAAGTGCTTATGGAAAAGTTTCTCCAAATAAACCCTTTGTTCGGTAGCCATAATAAGGCAGGAAATTCTTTATATGTATTTTATGGATGTCATTGATTGTGTTGTGATTCTTGTGAATCATTGGTGTGGTGTGGGGGGAGGGGGGTGGGGTTTAATGACATGGAATGATAGAAAAAAGTTGATTGAAGGCATATCTCATGTGGTACTTGGGGTAACATAATCTTGAAAACTCAGAACTATCTATTTTATTGAACTGTCTATCCTGTAGGTGGCTATTAAGATACTGAGTTAATCTGCATGTATATTTTATATAACTGTATTAAAAAGTTGTTTCATGCATTTGTAAATGGTGCAGCTTCATGGAGACCCTATATATCTGACATCTAAGTTTCATATTATTATTGTTGCTTTGGCATTATTTTCTATGGCCCAATTGTTGTATTATGCTCATATGCTTTACTATCTTATTGAATTCAAAAGTATTGATTGCAGGTGGATAATAAAGCTGCAGTTCTTGGTTTTGTTGGGGCACCATTCACCCTGGCATCATATGTTGTTGAAGGTGGTTCATCAAAAAACTTCTCAAAAATAAAGAGATTGGCTTTCTCTGAATCCAAGGTAATCTTCATCTTACCTTGTCATTCAGACACACTAAACTTTGTTGCCTGTGGCAACTCACATCTCCCTATGTTTTAAATCTGCTTTTTCAGCATTTATGATCTGAAATATACTGATCAATCCAAACTGTCCCCAACAAATCCTTAAGTTGGTCATTTAGTTAGAAAGTTGGCTCTGGTTGAACTAGAAAGCGATTAGAATGATTCATGTTACCATAGTTGTTTAGGTTATTCTTTCTTTCTTTTTCTTATTTTGTGTGTGTATCACATGGAGCTTTTACATTGATGAACAAAATGAATTTTGGTATTTACGATTAAAAATCAAGTCTTGGTCTTTAGCCAAGAAAGAAGTCATTTGTTAATCAAATTTGTGCTAATTCTTTAACTCATTTCACTCACTTACTTTGAAACTGTGATTTGTCCACAGATCTTGCACTCGTTACTGCAGAAGTTTACAAAGTCAATGGCAAGATACATTCAATACCAAGCAGACAATGGAGCCCAAGCTGTTCAGATCTTTGATTCATGGGCTACAGAGCTTAGTCCAGTGGATTTTGAAGAATTCAGTTTGCCTTACTTGAAGCAGATTATTGATACTGTGAAGAAAAGCCATCCAAAACTCCCTTTGATCCTATATGCAAGTGGGTCTGGGGGCTTGCTTGAAAGACTAGCTTTGACAGGGGTGGATGTAGTTAGCTTGGATTGGACGGTTGATATGGCTGATGGAAGGAGGCGACTGGGACCAAATATAGCTGTACAGGGGAACGTGGATCCTGGTGTTCTTTTTGGTTCAAAAGAGTTCATCACTGATCGGATAAATGATACAGTGAGAAAAGCTGGTAGAGGGAAACATATCTTGAATCTTGGTCATGGCATTAAAGTAGGTACGCCTGAGGAGAATGTTGCACATTTTTTTGAGGTCGCTAAATCAATTAGATACTAAGCAGATAATTGTGATTAATTGATTTTTTTTGTTTAATTGCACCTTTATTCTCTTTGCTATGGTCAATGTTTGATTTGATTCCCTAATGCATTTTCTCAGTAACTAAATTTCCTAAGTTGAGCTTAATGTGGTATATATAATCAAAGGTCCGCTGCATCTGCTTCAGTTTGAAAAAAAATGGTTGATGTTGGTAGAGTAAGGAAGCAAACATGTGAGTACTTGGAAAGGACGCGCAAGTCAATGTGTACTGAGAGCATCAGCAAGGAGAGATTCATCACTCTCTTTTTCTTATTAAGAACTCCGTTGTAGCATTTTTTTAAGTCCTGTTAAATACGGGTGCATACTCAAGCATCGGTACTTAACATGTCAGTGGGATCAAGTAAAATACTTTTGATACTAAATAATGTTTATATAGCAAATAAGTAAAATTAAAATGTATTGAAGGGATACTAAAAATAAAAAATGTGTAAAAAGTAAGAAAGTTGAAGGGAATAGATGTTTAAATTATAAAATATAAAAAAATGAGTGATATGTATATCTAATTATACTTAAAAAAAAACGACTCTAATTTTAGCGTTAGGATGCGAGTTTGTCACAGTCATATAATTCTAACACAAGCAGGAGGTAATTCTAATAGAGAGTGACCCCTTTTTAAGCGTGAAATATAATGGGGCACTTGCAGTGAAGATGTAAGCATGCAACAACGATTCTCTAATTCTGAGTGTAGGAAGCACCATGTGGTAAACTTTGAGTGACATTGAGCTTTCGGTCCAAAAAGGATTTTGGGTTGCTAGGTCTATCTTGGGCTTGATTTTGATCAGTTGGACCTAACAGATTAGATCTTGAACAATGACCACTACACAAATAATGATTATTTTTTGTATTTTTCTTTCTGATAAAAGTTTTCAAAAACACAAGAAAATAACATGAGAAGATTCAAATTCTTTGGGAATATTGATGGTTTGCTGATGCAAATTATCTTTGATACTTGATAATCGAGTTAATGGCAGATCGTTCTAGATTGGGATTGTTTCAAAAAGTCAGGAATACGTCAGCTACATGAACATGATCTTCGGTAGGAATTTGTGGTATCAAACTCGGTTCTTTGCATTGAATAAAAAGAAATGGTTTTGAAAAAATGATTATGAACTATTAGAGTCGAGTTAGTGATGAAGAGTTAAGATAATATACATGAAGTCATGAGTTCTAACTTCTAATCACATTTTGCGACCATTACATACTATAAGAAAAAGGAAAATAAATGGTTCTTTGTATCATAATCCCTGACAACATGATCCTTGAAACATATGGATAGCTGATAAATATTTGGAATGAATGACAACAAAGGCTTAAGGCCATAATATACTCTAGGAAAATTCAAAACTCAGCAAATTGTTCCTTAATGAAATTCAGCTGAAGATGTTAAGACTGTAATCTTAGTGGTTGATTTTTAATTTAAAACAGCATCCTAGTACCCTACCCTTTCTGAATCATTCTACCTCTCACGATTAAACAGTTGATGCTGAATAATTTAATTAATACCGAAATTCAAAGTACCTTTAATACAGTGCAAGATCCTATTAACTAGCTTAAAGATGAACCACATTAATATTTTGCAAGATACTTTTTAACTAGCTGAACTGCTGAAGATGCTCATGGGGAGTTCTAAGAGCTGAGATACTTGCAGCTTCTTGGACGACTTGTTTGAAATAAATCACTTATTTTTTTTTATAAATTTTTTTTACTTTCCTAACTCGTTTTCTAACTTTAGTATTGATTTTGAAAGAAAAATAAAAGAAAAAAAGGATTGATATGAGATGTTTCAATTTTTTTTTTATAAAGAAATTATACATGAGATATAACGCCAATGAATTCATGAAAACAATTCTAAGTTGTTCATGGTTTCTTGAAATATGTATTTTGAAAAATACATATTTGAAGAAAAATTATCTAATAATGTTTTTCTATTATTTTTATTTTAAAAGACTTAATTGCATTTTTTATTCATCTAATATTACAATTATGTGATTCTGGTTCCTAAGATTTGCGATTTGAAAGACTAAAAACACATTTAAGTCATTTTAAAAATTAAAAATAACTTTGAAAACTAAAATCAAACAAGAAATTAGACTTTGCTATACTCTTTTTGATATCAAATATAAGAAGAAAAAAATCATATTAATTAGGAAAGTTGATAGATAGTATTTAATTTCACTTATCCCATTTAAAAATAAATATATATTTTTTAAATTATCTTTTATTAAAATTTGATATGAAAAACTATTAGAAATATAATCTTAATTGAATGAATAATATTTTTAAAATAGCGTAATTAAATAGAGTAAAATTAGTTGAAATATAAATATATTTGAGATTAACATACATGAGGTATTTTTTTTTAATTATATATCTAATACAGAAGAGGGCATAGCTAAAGCATGATAGATCTATATTATCTATTATAAAATTTTAAAATGTACTATTTTGATAATCCCCACATTTTTATGAATTTGATTCTTTAAAGTGAAATAAATTAACGGAGAATAAAGCCTCATCAGTTAAATAAAAAGAAAAATAAGAAAGTAGATTTTGATAAATTCATTATTTATTATACAAGTACATGTAATAATAATAATTGATTTTTTTATAAAGTAATTAATTTCTTTGACCTTTAAATTTTCTCAAAAGCGATTATTGTGCCATTTTCATTAAGTGTATTACATAATTAATTATGCTATTTCTTTTGTGACTTTTTGTGTGTGTAATATACTATTCATTTTTTGACTCAGATTTGAAAAACAAAAGGATAAAGTAATCAGAGATTTTGACAAAATTTATAATTGTGAGAGGTTCCTTTGGATGCATATTATCTACCAAAAAAAATCATAAACTTAATGGAGATTGGGTAGGTTCATACACTTTCTTGATAGGTATACACTGCAAACTAGTTGGGTTGGCGTTTTTGTTAATTGAAAAAAGGTATAAAATAGCGAATGAGTGAAAGACTTAAGCTACCTAGAGCAAGAAAAATACACACATACGTAGTCTTTAAGTGATGTTAATAACAGATACTATATAATATCATAAAATAAATAATGTGATAACCGATAAGGTACCTAATCCAGATCAGATACATGTAAGCATTAGACCCACTTTACCTTAAACACAACCAAAGAAAACAACACTCAACGATATTTATTAAACCTAACATTGACTCTATGAGGCAACGTGCACGTTGCTAACAAAATCTAAATTCTACTTGTTTATTTATTTATAAAAAATCCAAATTTGACTAAGAATTTATTTTGGTTCATAAGTGTTTTTTAATTTTTTTATTAAAAATAAAAAATACTTTTTAGTAAAAAAATTCTCATAAATATATTTATATTTGTATCCAAACAGATTCTAGTACAAATACAATCATAAAAATATTTCGGAGGTGTATTGGATTGAGATTTCAAAAAAATTTAAAAGATTTTTTATTATAAAAAATATTATGGTATTCAATTAAAAAAATTTAAATATAAAAAAGTCATATTATATTTAATTAAGATAATTAGAATTTTTTTAAAAAATACATCAATGACATTCAACTAAGACAATCATAATTTTTTTAGAGATACATCAAAACTTGGTGGTATTCAATTAATAATTTTTTCACTTAAAAAAATCTATCAATATTAAAAAATATAGATATTTCAATTAATTATTTTTATAGATGAATTTCATGAGATTTTTTTAGTAGAATTTACATATAATTTACTTATCAAACAATTACATTAAAACTTTTTATGATTTTATATGACTTTTTTCTAGTTTATTTTTCTTTTATTTTCTTTCTTGCATATTTTGCTTCTCTCTCTCTCTCTCTCTCATCTTCTTTCTCTCTTTCTCCTCATGTCTTCTCTATCTCATATTTTCTTTTTCTTTTTATTCATCTCTCTCATTTATTTTTTCTTCTACTTCTTCCCTCTATTTTTTCTCTTATTTTTTTTATCTATCAATCTTTTTTGTTACATTTTTATCTATTAATATTAATGCATAATTTATAATATTTGTTTTTAATTATTAAATATTTTAAATTATTTTTGAATTATTAAATATTATATATTGTTAAAACTTTAAATTATTAAAATTTAGAAAATTTTTATTTTCAATAAAAGTTAACATTGAAATATCAAAATTTTAAACATATATTAAAAATAAACTTAAATATGTTTTTAGTCCATCAAATTTAGAGTAAATTTATTCTGGTTTCTCATATTTAAAATTGTTATTTTTAATTCTATAATTTTTAAAAAAATTTAATCCTTCGAGCCACTAATAATATACCTGAAAGTGACAGATTGAGACAATTATGCAATAATAATTAAGTTTAATGTGATATTTTCATTAATAGAAACACTATTAAACAAATTTATGCAATAATATTTGACAAATCTCCTAACAAAATTTAATTACAAGAATTAAAACAAGATTTTTTGAAATTACATAAATTAAAACGAATAATTTTAAATTTAAGGTACTAAAATTCTACCGGTTAATGAATATCATAGTTTTAAACATATTACAAATTTAATAATATGAATGAAAAAACACAAGTACATAGATAAATGTATGAAGATAAATATTATTGATAAGAACATAAAATTAAAATCAATTTTTATTAAAAGATTAAAAAAATAATTTTATTTTCTTTATTCAAACCTTATCACTTTATTATACAGAGAAATCATATTTTTTTTATAGAAAAAATTATATTATCCTTTGAAATCTAATAGAATACTTTCAAAAAATTTATAAATTCTTAAGATAGAAATCCATTAAAATATTAAAATCAATACATTTTTACAAAGTTTTATAAATTTTTTTAAAAGTTATTAAATTTCTACAAAATTTTTAAAACACAATAATTTTTTTATTGAAAAAAAGACTTTTTTAAAATTAGGTGTTTCCTTTGACATCTCTGAATTTAAAAAAAATAAATAAATGGCAGGATTTTGCTACCTCACCTACGTGGCCAAATAGAGTGAAGACTTAAATTGAATCAGAGTCGGTGTTGTTATTTTTTATTTTTTATTTTTGCAATTTAGTCCTTATGAAGGTTGGTGGGAAGCAGGAAACAAACGAACCATTTTGGCTTACGACATTCCAGGTTGACTTTTTTCATTTTATAATTTTTTAAAAATACTTAGTAATCATGCTTATGTGTGTTTTTGTTATTATTTGCCTTTTATTTTTAATGTTTGGTTGCTTAGTATGTGTATATAGACACACGTTTATGATATAGAAAATCACATCTCAGTAATAAAAAAAAAATGATAAATATAGCTTATGCTTAGTATTTATAGTATGTGTATGGACACACGTTTAGCATTTGAAACAAGATTAAAATAGTTTATATTTTCAATTTTTAATGTAATGTTAATTTTTTTATAATTTTTTTTCCAGATAAACTAAACTACAATTATTTTAATGTATTTAGACGAATCATTAATAAATATAATGAATATTTTATATCAATAATATAATTATATATTTTTTCAAGTATTTATAACATATGGAATTAATGTATTTATTAAGAGATCATAGTGATTATTGTTCTTAATCAACGTAAAAAAACTGCATTAATTTTGAAGGGAGAGAGTATATAATAGAAAACTTATTACGAAATGCAAATAATCATGTATTTGACTGGTCAATCATAGACCTCGAGCCATGGAGATTCATTTTTTAATTTAGATAAAGATAAAACATGTAAATTATTTATTGAAGTGCATAATGATTCAGGATCTAAAAATGATTCCGAATCGGTTAAAACACCTAAATAATATATAGTGTTGACGAATTAGATCAGATCGATTTTGAATGAAAAATATTTATTTTAATCACTTCGATTTTCTTGATTCATAGTTTAATCATTTTGGTTTAAAATCCACATCTATGTAATCTAATCAAAAGTGATTTGGATTAAATCAAATTTTTGTTTTAGTTTTATTTTTCTTTAGAGAAATCATTCTAGATATATAAATTACAATAACTATATAATCCGAAAGTGTTTTTATTTGATTTTATTCGGTGAAAACATTTTTAGTTGATTTTTTAATAAGAGCATTCTTAGAATTTTTTTTCAATATTCACTTAAATATTCTTTTAATGTTTTTTTTATCTCTTTAAATATATTATTTTAATATTTTTTTTTAAATTGTTATCTCTTGAAATATGTCATTTCATACTTATTTCAATATTCTTTAAAAAAATTATCAAAAGTAAAAAATATTTTTCATCATAATATAAGTTATTTATGAGAAATTTAAAATATAACGTATATTTTAAAACTATTTATTTATTATAAATTTTAATTATTATA